AAAAAAATCTAAAGTTATTATCTTTATTTATCCATTTTCTCAGCAATTAACTGGTAGACTTATCAAGCAACTAAGGATAGAGCTCAATTAAAGACCTTAAGCCTAAAACATGGCTCATCTTGTAGCTGCTAAAACCAGCATCAATAAAGAGCTTAGCCCATTCTTTTTCGTTTCTTTCTTCTCCTGTTACTTGAGCCATCATCTGCATGTCGTACAGCAGTTGTGTTTCAATATTAATGTTGTCTTGGTCCCTGCTCTTCTCCTTCTCCTCCAATACCATGTCAATGACGATCACCTTCCTCGAAACTGCTTCTTTGCATCTTTTAAGTATTCTTACACAATCCTCATCATTCCAATCATGCAGCACCCACTGTCAGATTAAATGGATATCAAAGTTTAGAAAAAAAATAATAATAATCATGGATGAAGAAATTAAAAAGAGGAACAAGACTTGCATACCTTCAACATGATGGCATCTGAGTGGGGAATTTCGTCGAACATGTTTCCACCAATGAATTTGAGGTTCTTACTGCCTTTCAAGCCAGTGACCACATGGGGCAGATCAAACACAGCACACTTCACGTCGGGAAATTCTTTGGCAATGGCCTTAGCCATACATCCGGTGCCACCACCAACATCAGTGATTGAATTCAACCCCTCAAAGACCCCTCTGCACTTATTGATCACCACACTCGTAGACAAAACGCTGTCACTAGCCATGACCTCGTTAAACGAATCGTTAAACCTTGGCTCGTCGCGGGCATGCTCCCATACCGTTTTTCCATGAGCCATAACAAATGGTGTTGGAATTCCTTGGGAATCGTCTTGGAGCCACTGGCTCATATAATCCCAGGATTTCGTCATGACATGACCAATTGACAGAACCAATGGCCTTTGACTTAAGGGACTGTCCTTAAGCAGAAGACGAGAGGTGTCAGTGAGGACATACCCCTTTTCTTGGCCATCTCCGGGGGAAACTTCTTGTTCCGCAAAGTATCCGGAGTGCACCAAAAAGCGCATGAGTTGGTGGAGATAGCGGACTCTGGTGTGGTGGATTGACAGCGCCGAAGCCAGCTGTGAGATGGTCATTGGACGGCCACCGTGGTTGTGGATGGCATCGGGGATTTCAAGTTGGACTGCGCATTTCAGTACCATGGATTTTATGAAACTGAGATGGTGGTTCCAAATTTGAGTTTGAGCTTCAAGTAGCCCGTTTACACTACCATTGATGCCCTCCATTGAGCGTAATTGAAAGAATAGGAAGGGCTTGATATTTCCTCAAAACATTGGATCTGTACCTATATAATGTCTTTTTCTTTTTCTTTTCTTTTTTGACAAACGGGACATAAAAGAGAATAAATGTAATGACGTTTTC